TTTTCCACATCATCAAAAAATCCCCATAATATGCCCAAAGCCGGTTCTGAGTGCCGTTACTTTCTGCCCTCCAGCACTGGGGTACGCTCATGTCACACGACTCCGTGCCACCTGCCCGCGGCCCGGCTCTCCGGCGGGGAACTGCGACCGCCGCCTGCTGCCCCTGGAGCCTTTTCTCGGCCTGAGAGGGGGGGTGCACAAAGCACAGGAAGGCAGTTCAGAAATGCAAGGCAGTGCTCTCTCCCTCCCCCTTCCTCTGCGATGGGGTCTATCGATTGCCAAGAGGCGATGCGTCTCACCCCTCGTAGCCATAAAATCAGAATTTGTCTTGGAAAGCGTCTCATTTAATTGCTTGTGGGTGGAACCGCGTTATGCTTTCAGCTCACTGAAGGGCTTAGCCCCAAAGGGCAGCTGGTCATCGGACGGTGCTGGTGTGCAACTGCGCCAGCCCCAGCGGTCTCATTTAATGCCCATCACGTGTTTCCCCCCAAAAAAGAGCCACGACACACAGCCAGGTCAACCGGCCGCCACTGGGCACCCTGCCATACGGCGATGAGGTTCTCTAAATCCCTCGGTAAAGAGCGACCTGCTGGGCACGGGAGCCCTGTGTAAGCCCCAATGTCTGCCACCCGTGTCATGCCCAAGCCCCACCGTGGAGGGTGCAGCTTTGCTCCCGGTGTCATCAGGACCTGGAGGTGTGTCCAGAGCTCACGGCCAGACCTGTCACCACCTCTCCCCCAAAACCAAGCGGTGATGGCTGTCCCCTGGAAGGTGAGTTGGTTGTGTTTGTTGCTGAGCCTGACTGAGCTGTGCGATTTTGGGAGTGCCTTTCGGGGGGTTTCCCCCATGTGCCAGGGTGTGAAGCCCTGGGGTAGCACTACACCTGCAACGAAGCATCCAGGAGCAAGGTGAGTGGCACTTGCTGCTTACCAACGCGCTGGGCTGAAGGCAGGACTACATCTGTGCCCCATGCTCTTTCCTGGGGTGGATTTGTCTGGCATCTCGGCAGCTGCATCTGCTCCCGTTTGCATAAATAACTGCATGGAAAGTGAAGCCGAGACAAGCCCTTGATTCCCTCACACGCCCTGTGGAGGACCCGACCCACCGAATCACGGCTGCTTTCTGGACTCCAGTAAGTTTTCAACAGCAGTTAAGAAACATTTGAACATATGAATTTCAGAATATTTTTCTCTAAAACCTGCTTGAGGTTCCTGCTCCAAATCAAGACAAGAGGAGAAACTGTTCTCTAAGAAACTTTTGCAGAGAAAAGACAAAACTTTAAATTACTCCAGAGTGCCAGCTGCGAATCCCAGAGAAGCACCAGGACCCTGAGCCCTCCAGGGACAGGAATTAAATCACACTGTATTTCTTTATAGTTTTTCCTGATAAAATGGGAGCCAGGCCACCCAGGCAGCGCGAGGGAATGGGGCGATGCTTCAGCCTGGCTTTAATCCTCCCCATCCTCCTCCTGACATGCTCGCCTCTGGCAACCCAGCCAGACATGCAGGACTTTTTTGGGCAGTGGGGCTGGGAGCCCGGTGAGGCTGGGCTGGTGCCGTGGGGACCACGGGGCCCACCTCTGCCTTTGGGGTGCTATGGGGCTGAGGCAGTGCCCTCAGGAGGTGGCTCTGGGGGGCACCCATGGGCTGGGCTGAGGCAGCTGCAGAGCTGGAGGTATTTAAAAGAAGGATAGATGAGGTGCTTAGGGACATGGTTTAGTGGTGGGATGGCAGGGTTAGGTTAAAGGTTGGACTCGATGATCTTAAAGGTCTTTTCCAACCAAAGTGATTCTATGAGATTCTGTGAAGATTGCGGGAAGGATGCCTTGTCCAGGGGAAGCTCCTCACGGTGCCCCACCAGCTTTCTGAGGGAAAGGCTGCCTGGTGACAAAGACCCAGCTGACAAGGGGCAAAGCGGGGCGGGAGGTTGGTTTGCCTGGTTTCTCCCCCTCCCAGGAGCAGGAGTGCAGTGGTCATTTGGTTCCACAGCCAGAAGCCAGGAATGGCCCCTGGGGGCTGAACCGGTGAACGGGATGTGCAGGCAAGGGAGGTGCAAGTTGTTGGGGAGAATCAAAAAACCTGACAACACACTCCTGGGGAGGGACGGTACCTCCCTGAGCTTGGCGTCGGCTCTTGTCAGCCAGCGTGGTGACTCTGGACGGGCCCTCCCCAACCCCCCGTCCCGCCTCTGCCAGGACTCCTCGTGCCTCCTCCCGTGTCTTGAGGGGCTGTAGCAGCATTTTCCTCGTCGCTTGGGCTCACTGGGGTCAGTTCATTGCACTGATCCAGCCTGCGGCTGCCCCGCTGTCAGCAGCTGGAGAACTTGCCGGTAAATGAAAGGATTTTTCTTTTTAGCTCTTTTAAACTCTGTGCTCTGACTTCCCGTGGGCGTTTGAGCCCCGGCGGTGCCAGCCCGGGCTGGGTTTGTTCAGCTGCGCCTGTGGCCGCTGAATTGCTGAATTAAATATTCCGCGTACCCGGGATCCTGAAAGGCTGAGCGCCGCCGCGGCAGCGCAACGCCTCGGGCCCTGCGCTCCTCCTTCTCTCACGCTCTTCGGTGGATGCTCGGAACCTTTCCCTGGCAGAGGTTTTGCGTGACCTTCTGGCAGGGGAGAGGTTCGTGAGACCAAATGCACAGCTCCGTCTTCCGCCTCACCAAACCAAATCTTGTGCAGTATAATTTACTGGGAGTTTAATGGACAGGTAGAGCGAGTGTTACCCTCTCCTCTCCCATTTAAAAGGAAAAAAAAAAAGCCATGCAAACAAAAAAGCAAACCAAACCACCCTGTAAATAATGTGAAAACTGTAACCAAATAATTTCCAGTCCCTTACGGCCACTCCTTCCCAAAATTTTTTGCCACAACCCCCCCTGAACACCCTGTTCTGGACACTGTTGGCTTAATGTAAGATGTAGCCCTTCGGAAGCCTTGCTACAAATGGCACCACTGGGTGCTGGGAGGGGCTGCCAGGGTGCTACCTGCCCGCATAGGGGCCATGTTTTACAAGTGGCATAGCTTAAAAATGAAATTTTTAAAACCCGTGTCATTTCCAAATGAGGCATGTGGTGTTAATGAAGTGACTTGGCAGACCCTCGTCCTTGGTACTTGTGAGGGGGAAAAAGGGGGTTTTGATCCTTATTTCAACAGCCCAATTTTGAAAAAAATGTGAAGGCTGGGGAGAAGCACCTCTAAATGTAGCTGCTTGCTTACCTGCCTTCTGGAAGCGGCTGGCCAAAGCCCTCAGCGTGAGGCCAGAAGAGCTGTAGGAGGCTCCTCATCCCACGGCTGAAGGTGATCCAAATCCACTGGCCTCATGGCAAGCTCGTGGGCTCCTTCCTGTGCCCAAGCGTGTGCTGGGGCCGCACGGCAGCTCAGCCCCGGGGCGCCTCAGGCTAACATTTAAACTTGGGGGGGGTGGGGTGGCGGGGACCGAGGAAAAAATCCTGAGCGTGACAAGCGGTGTGTGAGAACCCCTATCAGGTGGGAAAGGAGACGAACACGGGCTGCGAAGCTTTCCTCTGTGTTTAGCAGCATTATTAATTAGAGGGAAATTGTAAGATTGATGGGGATGGCAAGGACTAGCTTAAGCATTGAAATGATTCCGTACACTAAGAAAAACCTACTGAGAACATATGCTAATGGTTTACATAGCTTCTTCGAGGCAACTAATGGATTTCCAGATGCAGTGCACATCTGGCTATCTAATCTGAGAGGGAAATACTCCGCCGCACTTGTGGATGGTCGCTAAGTTTCGCTTTGCATCATGAGACCTGAAGCAGTCTCCGACTCCGAGCCGCACATCATCTTACTCTTTTCTGGAAGCCGAACAAACCCGCCACGTAAAGCACCGAGCCCAGCGGCTGGAGGCTTTCGTTGTGTCACTGCTTTCCTCGCTGCTTCGCAGGCTGGCTTCAGCCTTTCCACACAACTGCTGCGTCCCACCGAGAGCAGCGCTCTTCAGTCGGGGTTGGGGACAGCAGCCCCCATTTCCATCTGCCGGAGGCCGTTTTCAGGCTCATTCGGCTGCGCAGGGAAAGCACCCCCGGGGCAACCCCACTTGTGTCGCATAGGATGTGCTTCTGCCCAGGGAAACCCAGCAGCTTTGTGCTTTGCTCCTTACCCGACACCTGAGCTTGACAAAATACACCCCTAGTAGGACTGATGTATCTGAGGCTTCCAATTACAGCACTTGTTCCAAGGCCAAAACTGAGCTTTTAAGTGTCATGGATGTGCTCTAAGCTCTATGGGGGCCACTTTCACCTGTCTCAAAGGCTTCCAGCCCTGGCCTGAGGGCCTTTCGCTAGGGACTAGAGGGAGAGGAGGGCACGGGGCAGGGTTCCCCACAGTCCCCTTCCCCCGGAGAAGCCGGGCTGCGCTCCTCCTCCAGCCCCTTCCAAAAGGCCAAGGGAGCCTTGGCTGGCGCTGCTGGGCGCAAACAGCTATTGCTGCTGAAGGTATCAAAAGTCCTAGGCTGAGAGAAGAGCCTCGTTAAACTATAAACCTAAACTTTGTCCTCCGCATTACAGGTCAAAGTACCAACTAAGTATCAGAGGTATGTGCCAAAAGTGCAATTAAACACCTCGTATGACCAGCCACTTCATTTCCAAATGTCCCCTCGCCTTTTCATGTAGCTTTTTATTGTGCTTTAACTTTCTTGTGTTTGTAGAGCGACAATGTGAAAGCCAAGTGCCTCACCTAACCAAGCTTTAGTCATAAACGCCGCCGTCTTTATTGATACCAGAGATTAAGAGAACAAAATGCACCAAGACATCTTACTCAAGGTGTGTAGAGACTGTATCACACACACTTTATGAAAAAAACGCTGCCCATTAATTATCATCTGTATAAATGGGTAAACGTGGCTGCTTTCTGTGATTAAGTGCCCTAGATTAACTTTTGAAACGAGGTACACATCTGAAAGTTTATTTTTATTTTTAAATAAGTGTTTCTTTTACAAAAATACAGCCAAACACTATTTTTAATTAATAAAAGCTGATAAAAAGGTTCCAAATGTCCTGATTCATAACACTACTGACACAAAGAATTGGGCATATTTAGTAAGAAGGAAGGTAACAAACTGTAATTGTTGCTGGAAAGCATCTGAAACAAAAAAGGCCGCAGCGAGCGATCTTCCTCATCCCGAGCCTTCCGCGGAGCTGTATCCAGGAGGCGGATTCGGCTGCTCTCCAGCTGAAAGATCCGTTTGAGGCTGGTGCCTGCGACCCTCAGGGAGACGAGGACTGCCCCGTCGCCCTGGAGGCAGGAGGGAAAGCTTGCAGGCAGCGAAAGGGCAAAGACTTCTGTTTATGACACCTTTTACGATAATTATTAAAAGCCTCAGTGGAAACCATCTCCTACAACGAACTGTGGGCAATGAAGACCGTAATACTTCAAAGAGCTCTCTTTCCCCCTTGCCGCCTGGGCTGCACCGCACTTGCCACCAAGGTTACCTGAAACCCGGCTGCCAGAGGGGAAGAGCCACATCTGGCACAGCTGGCACATCTGCCAGCGCCCTGCTGCATCGGCAGCAGCTCCTTTTGGCTTTGGCCAAACAGATTAGTACAAGATGAGGAGTACAGACTTCTAAAGGACAGAGAGAACAGAGTATAAGCTCGAATTGTTAAAAAACAATCTGCTGGAACAAACTGGCACGGTCTCATCATTACTTTCTCATTATCCAGTAATGAAATATCCATCCAGAGACTTTAGGTGTTATCTAGAGCTAAAAGCCACTTTCTGTTTATTTTTACCAGGTGCTTCATTGTTTCTACTGATACGAAAATTTTCTAGTTTTAATTACAAATAACGTGTCTGCAGAATGGTTTCAGCTGATTGCCATCAAGGTCTCTGTAAAAGACAAAAGCACAGACTTGCACTACAGGGATGCCTACAAGTCTGCAGGGTATGAATTTGTGCTTTCCTCCGAGTGATCTCAGTCCCTTTCAAATTCATCTTTAAGCTCTGTAGCCTCTCTAGCCCCTACACGGATTTTGACACAAAGACAATAAAGCTGCTTTGTTGCAGAACCACATGTAAGAAAATGAATTTAAAAAAAAAAAAACACTATTTGAATACAGCTTTACTACAAAAAACCCCTATTTTCTGTATTACTCAAGGTAACTGATGATGATAAAAGTGATAGAGAGGGGTTTTTTTTCCCTTTTTGGCCTTAAAATTCTGCTCTGGTTGCAGCTGTGTATTAGGGGATGCTCCTCCTCCAGGCAGACTGGGCTTTAGCGAGCAGTCCCTCACATCCAGGGCTCCCATCCCTCCCAGACTCTGCCAAGAATGTTGGGGTCCGTCGCTTGATCGATCAGGCATCTCACTTGGGTCTCTTCTGAAAGTCCATCCTCTGGCTCTTTGGCTCTGATATTAAGATCAGCGTTACCACGAGCCACAGCTGCGAAGTTGTTATAAAAAGGCGACTTCTCATGGCCCAGGCGTAGTTCATCGCTAAAATTAAGAACACTAAAATAAGCTTTTACTACGGGAAACAAGCAGAAAATCTGAGACAGATTTTAAAATACGAGGCAGTACTTGAACACCGGTTCATGCAGCTTTATTTTTCAAGATGCGGAGACTGTTCCATAGCTATAGAAGGCTTGGCCAGTGAAGACCGGTGATTTCAGGTGTCCTTTACTAGTGAATATTTAACCATGAATATTTCAGTCTTGTCACAGGTCTCTAACTGAAAGAAGGATGCAGCAGTTCACATCCAAGCTGTTATCTCCTTACCTGCCCTACAGATTTGTGTCTGCAAGAAATATTTGGCTGCCTTTTCCACTTCAGCCTTGACCGCAAAAGGGACTCCTCCCAAGTCCTGCACTTTTCAGTATTAGCGTGGTTTTAAAACAGGCTTGCTTGCTTTGACTTTTTTTTTTTGATTAATCCAAAATGTTTTCTTTAAAAGAGGATGGAAGGGATTAATTGTACTTTAACTGAACTTTAAAGACATTCTGGCTTGAGCCAGACTTGACTAGACTGATATAAATAACCTGAGGAATGCCATCAGATTTGAATGTGATGTTTTTGGGAAGCAGCTTGCCTCCACACCTCCCATACAGCTGGTTCAGGTTCCATTTCAAGCAACCGTCCAGCAGAAGCCTATCGATTTAAATACTACCCCTGGCCTAAAAGCTGCGGAGAAGAACATAAAGAACAGCAGTCTGAGGAGTAAGAAGTTCAGCAGCAGGCTTACAGGGTGGGGATGCGTGTGTTGCCAGGAACAGTAAAACTGCTCAAGGAGGCCTGAGCTGGAGCAGGAACGCTCACGGGGAGGTATTTGGTGTTTTGGCTGGCGGGGTGATGCAGAGAGCTTGTATGTGGACCCAAATGATTCTGACAGGAGGTTTGCTGAAATTTTGCCCTGTCTGCCTCTTCTCTTTTCCTAGCTGCCATTCTATCTGAAGGGAGCAAAATCTGACACAGGAGACTGCCAAAGCTCTTAGGGGAGCAGTTTAAAGCAAGAGGAGAGCATCTTACCACGTGATTGTTGCTGGATTGGCACCTGTAAGCTTTCTTTTGACGTATCTGACTTTTTGCAAAGGGTACCAGTTTACTTCAGATGTGTCTATTTCCTTAATCCACGTGCCTCCTTTTTTCAGCTGTCTTTGTTCAAAGTTCTAAAAAGAAAACAAATTTGCCCTATTTATCATAAATCATATACTTAAAAAGACCTTTAAGCCTCCACACCATAGCAAGTCAAGCCAGTACCTCTTAATTGCATATGCAATGGAGGACAAAGTAGTGAGATGGTATCTAGCCTGCCTATGACTTAAAATTTAATTTACAACTGGAGTTACTGAAGTGCAGATAGTTTCAGATTTTTTCTCTGTAATTATTAGTTTCATATATGCAGTGGTGTTATGTAAATTTAAGAGGCTCAATGCAAAAAGTTGAAAATATTTATGCTGCTGCCATAAGTGACGTGATCAAGAGATACCCACATTTTTAGGATTATCATGCAGATAAAGAACAGTACAGTGACAACACAGACATATGCTACTATTCTTTGTCCATCAATATAGAATTCTCTCATTTTAAATCCTTTAAGTTTAGTTTCTCTGAGAACTCAATAAAAGAAAGACAGATGAAAGGAACACTGAGAGTGAGAATCAAAAAATACTTCCTTTTTGCTCAGTTTTATCCTTTTACAGTTAAAGAATTTTCACATGAAGAAAAAGGAAAGAGGAAAAAAATCCCACCTTCCAGTCCAAAGAAGGTTCTTTTACAAATACATCCATTGTGCTGATGAGGAGATCTGGAGCCGCACGATAAGCCCTTAGGGCATGCACCATCACACTGTAAACGAGTCCCCACTCTTTCACTGGCATCATCAGATTAACAAACTGGCGGGTCAGACGAAAAGGCATCAACTCTGGCACGCCCAAGAACTAGCCAAGGGGAAGGACAGTCAAAAGAAACCAAGCATTAAGAAACCTTGGAACAGATGGATTAGAAAGAAGTATTTTTTTCTTTTTAAGCTTTGAAACCCTCTTTGTCACTTAACTGAAAATAACGTGCAACTTGGTAGAACAAGACCGAGTTGTGACATCAAAACTCTCATCATGAATTTTTAGTGATAGTGGTTGAAAGCATGGCTGAACTACACAAACCACCACCGTATAAGACTCTATGAAACTCTATAGCTCCCTGCTCGTCTCAGCATATCTGGAAACAGAGGTTCTGTTCTATTAACCAGAAGTAACTTGTAAAGATTATTTTGCATGCGAACAATGGCAAATGAGCAGCATTGAATTTGGTACTGGGAATACACGTGTAATTGCACATATTAAATGCAAAAGCTGTAACTAATTAATTAGAAAACAAATACCTGCGTGGCTGAGCCAAACGCGTATCCAAAGTCTATTCCCACCATGCCACCCGTCTCCTTGTTAATCATGAAGTTGGACAGATGTCTGTCTCCTATACCAAGTATCCAGTGGCTGATGGACATCAGTGCATGAGAGCTGGCAAAATGGGACCGCAGAGACAGGAAGGCTTCAGGAGACGTACTCATTTTCACAAAGGCTCGCCTTAACAAAACAGAAGTTGCTTGTTGCATACAGATAAAACACCAACGTGCATTTCACAACGTGCAATCATGAACAGCGCACTTACCGCAGCAGGTCTTCTGGAACACTGCTTTCCCTGCTTCTGAAAGACATCACTGCTTCTGTACGGCTAGCATTTCTGTAAATTAAAGAAAGAATAACGTTAGCTATTGAAATAACAGCCCACTGGACATAAAAGTTCAGATGTGTACATGACTGCATTAGCACATTTTGCTTACCCCAGTAAAAAGCACAGCAAGCCACACAGAGAGTTTGCCCAAGAAGTTTTAGCTGATATTTATCTGATTTTTTTTTCCAAGCAGTTATTTTCAGGACTGACATTTCTTAATACAAAACAGTGTGTAGTTTTGTCTAGTTTCCCCCCAAATTAAGTAGATGGGTTAGGTTTTAACACAGCAATGCAACTGTGCTCTTTCTGGCTGGATTGTCTCTTCCAAGTGGAGAAACCAAGACCCAAACGAAATCTCTCAGCAGCGTGCAGAGGCTACATTGACATGAGGAAGTAGCACAGCACAAGGGGAGGCAACAGAACTACACAGCTGGTGCTGAGGACATCCATGCCATATGCATTTGGGGAGGGAGGGCAACTGCTCTTGACTAGCCCATGTCTGGTCCTGCAAACTGAATGCTTGTGAGCAGCTGGAATGCGCTGGGTGCTCTCCTCCCAGCCTAGTTTCATCTGAAAGCAGCAGAGTTGCACACTCAGGGATAGCTCTGCGATGCAAGCCAGCATGGTCGAGGGAGGTGATTCTGACCCTCTACTTGGCTCTGGTGAGACCCCACCTGCAGCACTGCGTCCAGCTCTGGAGCCCTCAGCACAAGAAGGACATGGAACTGTTGGAGCAGGTCCAGAGGAGGGCCACAACAATGATCCGAGGGCTGGAACACCTCTCCTATGAGGACAGGCTGAGACTTGGGCTTGTTCAGCCTGGAGAAGAGGAGAAGGCTGCAGGGAGACCTGATTGGGGCCTTTCAGTACTTAAAGGGGGCCTATAGGGAAGATGGGGACAATCTTTTTAGCAGGGCTCATTTTGACAGGACAAGGGGTAATGGTTTTAAACTAACCCAGGGTAGATTTAGACTGGATATAAGAAAGAAATTCTTTACAATGAGGGTGGTGAAACACTGGAACAGGTTGCCCAGAGAGGTAGTGGAGGCCCCATCCCTGGAAACATTCAAGGCCAGGTTGGACGGGGCTCTGAGCAACCTGATCTAGTTAGCAGTGTCCCTGCTCCCTGCAGGGGGGTTGGACTAGATGACCTCTAGGGGTCCCTTCCAACCCAAAGCATTCTATGATTCTATGACTTAAGTGGGGCCGATTGGGAATTTACTTCAAAAGCACATTCCGGACCTGAATAAAAATATGAATGCAGGCACATTCAGATAAATGAGTCAAAAGTTTTCCCTTAAAAATCAAGAAGCTTGCTTAAGCAGGTTATGAGCTGATCAGAAATGCCCCACTGGAAACTTCCCTTTCCCCACTACAGTGCTCGATGTAGATTTCCACAGGTGTGGAAATTCCTCTGAGGATGCCCAAGGCAGGATCCAAGCCATCAAATATTCTTAAACTCTCAGCGAATCACAGTGACTTTCTCTGTCCAGCTTCAGCAGGCGTTCTGGCTCTGAGGCAGCCTACCTAATTGTATAATCAGGAACAAGACACCCAGAAAATAAAGTTGAAGAGGAGCATCTGCTTCTAGACACTTTCTTGAGGAAGCGAGCAAGCTTCTGGAAGCATTCCTGTGCTCTGGTAGGATTTTGGCAGTACTAAACTCCTCCTGCAGAGCATCTCCAGTAAGACAAAGCAGTAAACCAGGCAAAAATCATAACTAGCCAGCATATTATAATGCAGATCATATTTTTCCTGTAATTTTTACAACCGTGTGTGTATGCACACTCTAGTTTCTATGCTTTACATGTAGTTCGCTTTTAAAACCTACCTGTACATAACATGGTATCGAGAGATGCCTTGCACTTTCCCACCCATCTTGGACAGCCACTCAGAATAGGTAGCACGAGGTCCTTTTTTGCTAGGGACAAAAAAAAGGGTTGATTATTTCCCTCTGCCATCTTACTACTCTGTCCTCGAATATCCACAGGCTGAGCCTGTGCTGCTAGGACCCATGAGATTTTTTATGCATAGAAGGCATCAGGAAGCTACAGCCTATATTAATTTTAGCCTTGCTATGGAAATGAAGCTTAGGCCGTCAGTGCATGTGCTGATCCATCCAACTCCTTCCCCCAGCTTCACTCAAGACAGAAGATTAGACCTCTCAAAGGTGTTAACTTGTCAATAGGTACTGTGAAAATTAGATGCTGCCTTGAGAAGAAAGACCCCAAATTATTTCTCCAGGGAGGGATAGGTATTTTTCAGAACAGTCTCATATTTGCCATTTCAGAGGCATTATGTAGCCTACCACAATACATGCTGCTGTTTGTCCATCCAAACAGGCGGGGACTGCAGGAAGCCAGTCCGTTACCTCCTCAGTGTGTATAGGAGGGAAGGAATGGGGGCTTGGACTTAAGGTATTAATCTGTAAGAAGCCAGCCTTCATTAGTTGTACTGCTTTAGAATAATTTGGTACTTTTCTTCCATCTTAACTAAACACACCAGACATTAAATTTCTATTCTAGAGAGGCAGCAGCTCAGCAGGGTGCCTGCCTTCTCTCTTCCTTCCAAAGCATGTTCTGAGATATAGAGATGCTTCCATTTAAGAAGTATTTGTCATTTACAGACTGCGTAGCCCATCACTTTGGGATAAAGAAAAGGATTTCAAAACTTCGGAAAGTTATTCTCTGCATCCCAAATGAATTATTGCCAGCAAGGATTTCATCAGAACTGTCCTTTGCAAATCCTGTAATTCGACCACAGCTCAACATAAAGTGTCTGAATTGACCTGATTAAAGAACACATGGGAAAATATTTGAAGTCTATATACAACAACAAAATAAAGCTATTTTTTGGGATAAATCATTAACTGTTTTTAGAAAGACACTGATCATCTACATGCAGTATATCAGAAATTTTCCTGCCCTCACAAGGTTGTTCCATGTGAGTCCTCCTCCACTTTCCCAGTCAATGAATTGAGACCAACATAATACCGCTGCTGTTCACAAGCGCGAACCAGACAGCAGCAATGCAGGAACTGTAGCAGTTCAATGGCTCACAAATCAAGTAACTGTAGAAATAAAGACTCTTTGGAGTCCAACCTTTGTGCTGGAGGTTCCTCCAACCTGCCCCATAAATGAGAGAACCAGTAAGAATAAATGCTGACAACACCACCTAAACAGAGATTATGTACTAAGAACAATGTTGATAAATAAAATCACATTTCTAAATTCCAGGATAGAAACGGGCTGAAATGCTAGAGTTAAGTCAATTTACAAACACTTATCTCCCAAATACAATCAAGAGAAAGAAAGCCAATTTCTTCAAACCCAGCATTTATATAAAGTCAGAGACAGTGTTCTTTTACAGTTGTGTTTTGTGTATCTGCTGCCAATTTCCCCCCTTGCTGACTCACTGCCGAACCCAGGTTCTGAATAGCTCTGTCTCGTCTCTGCTCTGCTCCCCTCCCCATCACTCTGACCTACGTTCATTTCCTGCCTAATCGAGAGATCAAAATCCTTTGCTTGTAAAATCAATCTGCTGATAAGGAAATGGTGATGATAATGACGTCACACATGATTATAAGCCTCTTGTTCAAACAAGCTGGGTGGAGGATATTCCAGTTACAATGGTACTCATTAAACAGCTGCTAATTACTAATTTGGGTCAGGAAGTACAAACTGCCTCCTTGCACATGGGTGCTTTTATTTTATTCTTTGGAAAAAAGAAAATGCTGCCACAAGATTGTCAGTATCAAAACCCCCGTTACTAGCGGTCTCTATTAGAGCAGACAGCTAAACCAAGCATCACCTGTTATAGTTGAGGTCTTCGTCTTCAGACATGCTATTCTTAAGGAATTCCTTTAAAGTACAAGTATTTTCCAGCCACTTGATGAGCCCCAGTCTGGAACAAAAGAAAGTCAGAGATGTGAACAAGTAGCTCAGAGTTGAACACCACAGTTGTTTAGAAGAACACCACAAATAGGAAGCGACACATTCTAGTCCTTGCTAAAAGAAGGTTGAAAGCTACCAATTTAAATATACTCTGAAAAACAGTTTCCAGACAAAGCAATTTCAATGCTGTTTAAAAGAAAAAAAAAAAAGAGCCAAGACAAAACACTCTGAACCAGAAATCTCACTTTCCAATGTTCCAACAGTAACAGATGTTAACATAAGGATTTCTGTCCCTTCAAGATAAATGCCTACCTTGTTGTCATGGGGATGACCTGGTAAGTTTTTAACTGCATATTCCTTTGGCTACACGTAGCATCTTGGGAAAGGATAATGTTCATTACATCAAACAGCTGCTCAATACGTTGGTCTTGTCGCAGGTCTTCACCACCTTTGACAAGAAAAGGATACTCCTGCTCATCGCTGCCTCGGATTGTTATACGTTTTGGCTTCCTCAAGGATTCCATTACACGTATCTTGGAAAAAGACAGGAAAAAGCAAAATATTTGTGACAGAAGACTTGGCCTTACAGAATCATCACTGAAATCAAGCATACCTGTCATTCCTAGATGGCATAATCAAGTTGCTCAATTACTGCCAGAAAAACAAATGTCTCTTTTCAGACCTTTCTTTATGTGCTGCAAGATGCATACACAAGCAACAACCTTGCCATCGTCAAATTCTTCAAAAGGAATATGGACGTGAATTTATACCACGTAGGCCTTTGACTCAAACTTATAAACATACCCGTTCATCAAATCCAGAGATTTTTGCATGGTACTCTGGCAGTGGTTTCCCTTTTCCATCATACTGACCTGAAGTGGTAATGGGTTTAAAAAAAAAAAGAAAAAAAGAAAAAAAGTTACAAAGATTTTTTTTTTAAAGTGTGTTTAAGAACAGAACATGCTTGCAAATATTTTGTCAAATTGGTAGAATGAGAACTACGAAGAGAATATTTTAAAATGCATAAAAATCCATCAAACACATCACATGATTTTATCTGTGAATTACTAATAGTCTTTCCTTGTTAAGCTGTTAGAATTGCAGCTCAAAGGTTTCAGAGGACAAATCCTTTTTGAACTAGATTTAAACATGTATTAGATTTATATATCAGATTTTCTGGAGTCAGGCCTTTAAAAAAAATACCAAGTTCTTGAGTAAAAGATACAATTTTAGATACAATTTTTAAAATTGGGACTACAGCTTGAGAACAGATTTAAGAGATGATGAATGAACAGAGTTATTTCAGATGAAATCTACCTCTGCATAGGGCCAGAAAGAAGGGCCATACAGCCGACATAAGTAGTAGAGCTCAAGAGTAGCAACTTTCTTCTAAGGGACAGGTCACCATTGACACTGAAAGGGAACTTACCAGGAACTTCTAGTTCATTCCTCAGGAACTCAGCTTTGAATTCACTCATCCACGGGGAACATTCTTTCAAGTTTCCAGGTTCTTTATGGTTTTCGTTCATTTTTGAGATGAGAGAAGCTGCAATTGCATCGAAGTCTCTAGCCTTCATATCCAACAGTTCAGAACCGCTTTTTCCAAAATGGCGGTCAAAGTCCTTCCCAAAAGCCTGAAGTTCATTTATAGAAAGGAACCCTGTTAACACAGTGCCAGGAACTCCCCAAGAACACCAAAACAGCACCTTCCTATCTACACACACAGCTCCAGCTGAGCTCCTAAAATACATCAATTGTTCTTCTATTCCAGTTCTTTTTTTCTCCATTATTTCTAGCCTGTCAGAACCTTCTCAGTGCCTGTTTGGTAGACCCACCAGCTTTCATCAACAGAAATATCTATATTTCACCAATCCAGTGACATCAAAGATCTGTAGAATTAGATCATAAAACTTTTTGCCACATCAAAATCAGAAGCTTATCCCTCCCATACCATCCTCCAGCTGCAGGTTGATTCTGAGTGAGCACATCAAAAATGCTGCTCATTAAACTTAATACACATGCCTCATCTGCTTACAAAAATTTAAGAACAGCTAATGAAATACTAATACAAAATACAAATATTTAAATTTATACCTATTAATCAAATACAAATTCCATCATGAAGCTAAGTATAGGATTATCAGAACATTTAATTGATGTCTCAGTCTTTAAATGTTATCACACTTTCAAACTGCCGCAACAAAACCCAAGAACCCCTCAACTGTTCAATTTACAAATGGTAAAAAAACCACCCCAAAATCCACAGATGGAGAAGTTAGTTAACCTTTTTTTTTTACCCCTAGAGCTTGAATACTCTGTACTTTATAGAAAGTGTGGGGGTTTTGTTGGGCTTGGTTTTTTTTGTTGTTTTCTTTTTTTTTTCAACTAGCAGCAACCATAGTACACAGCAAGCGAATACAGCCTAGTTAATTTTATATATACCTTTCTTGCTAACCCAAAAGATGTATTACATGCATATGTAATGCATGTCATATAGCTTCATGTATTAAGAGGATTTTTTGCATCATGTTAGACAATGTCAATGTCAAGGTTTTATTTACTATCACATTTATTATTTGTGATTTGCTTTGAGATGACTTGGATGTAAAACGTATAAAATCGTATTTTAAAAGTATGTTAAGTATCCTGATAAATGAGAACTGCAAAGA